AGTTCAATGCTGGTGTCTTCTTTTGCTTCCGGCCTTAGGTTTTGAAACAAGGTTTCTCACAATACTGCTAGACTAGTGAGCCTCAGCGACCCTCCTGTCTCTGTGCCCCCAGTGCTGGGATCACAGGTATATACCCCAGGTCCAGCTCTTTACACAGATGCTGGGTATTGAACTCAGGTCCTCATGCTTACACAGTGAGCACTTCACTGAGGGAACCATCTCCCTAGCCTCTCACGCTTATCTTTTTGTGACTGGCCCATTTTGGCTGCCTATATGTATGCTAGTCTGTCTTTGTTCATCTTTACGGACACTTGGCTGTCACTGATACTGTAGATAACACTGCTTTGCATCTGAATGTGGAGACAGTGGTTGAGATCCTTGCTTTAAGTTCTTCAAGCGGCTGAAAGAACACATTCTAGCTCCTGCAGTGTTTTCATGCGCTTAGAGCTTGCTTGGTATTAATAGGCATTTCTCAAAATATTTTGGTTTTCAATTTGTCATAGTTTTCTTTCAGCAATGCATGAATGAAAAAATTAGGATTTGTTTCTAATTTTTACAACTTCAGCCCCATTTGGTATGCTCCTGGGTGTTGACAATATCTTGGGGAAGGCAGGCATAGAGACACAGACCTGCAGTGTAGCTCTTGGGATATCCAAGTAGGAGGACTGGGAGTCCAAGGGCAGCTTAGATGTAGCAAGACTAAGATTCCTAAGACAAGATAGTCTTGGAGAGTTACAGCTTTCTAGTTGCTTTAGCTACTAAAGACTAGCCTAGTGCAGCTCAATGCTTTAGGCTCCCTGCTTCTGTCTTCCTCCACCTCAGGCATCCTTGTTTTAATACTATTGCTGGAAGAGGTCGGTTTTCATTTTTCTTGAGTTGTACACTAGTAGAGGGATTAGCAGTCCACATGGTAGTTCTGGTTTTTGTTTGTTTATAAACATGTGCATACATGTTTTGACTACATGTATATTTGTTCATCATGTGCATGCCTGGTCCTCTGGGAGTTGCATACTGTTGTTAGTCACCCCGTAGGTGCTGGGAATTGAATCCTGATCCTCTGGAAGAGCAGTCAGTGCTCTTAAATACTGAGCTTTCCCTTCAACCCCTAATAGTTCTGTTTTTAAGGGTTTTGAGAAACTTTCACACAGAATTGCATGAATTCTTTTTTCCATATTCTTTCCAGCACTTGTTATTTTTAGTCTTTTTAGTAATAGTCATTCTTTCTGTCTGGCTTCTGAGGATTGAGCTCAAGTCATCAGGTGACTGACATATGCCTGTACTTGCTGAGCCATCTCACTGGGAGCACACAGGGTTTTGATTATTTTGGGAATTCCTTCAGTCAATAGCTTTTGGGGTACTGGCCCTTTGGAGCATGGTCTGAGGTGCTACATGTGGACTGATGAGAGGAGACTCATGCTCATTCTCTGGTGAGGTGGTTGGAAGTCTGATGGCAGCTTCCAGTGCTGCTGGGCAGAACACTGAGGTGGCTCTCTACCTTATTGTCATTTGTGAGTCCTTCCCCAATAAATATTTGATATCCCTTTATTTTGGGCTCTCACAGACTCAGTTGCCCTAACTCCCATGCTTGATTTGTGAGGTTAGGCTGTCTTTTTCTTGCCCCTGTCAGCCAATTGTGTACTTTCTCTTGTGGAGTGTCTGTTTCAGTCTGTTGCCTGGTTTTATTGGCTTTATATTGCTCCTTAGCATGTTTTCCTGACATTCTAAAAGCCAAACTGTTGTCAGATGTACACTTACAAGTATTTTCTATAAGTCGCTCTCCTTTCTGCTGATTGTTTCTTTGACTGTATCACAACATGCAGGAGAGCTCCCACCCTATTTCTTTCTTTTTTTATGTAGGGTCTCACTATGTAGACCAGGCTGTCCTTGAACCCTAAGAGATCCCTTGCCTTTACGCTCTGAGCACTGGGATTGAAGGCATGCGTCACCACACGGGGTCCACCCTCTACCCATTTTTGAGACAGGGTCTTGATAGGCAACTCAGGCTGGACTAGAACCTACTACATAGGCCACAGTGACCTGGAACTCCTCTTCCTGCTTCAGCCTCCCAAACTCTAGGATTACAAATCTGAGACTCTGACTTGAAGGTGAAAAAAACAAGGCATAGAAGATGAGTAGTCAAAGCCACCAGCTTGTCACTGGACCTTAGCAAGTCTGGTTCCCAAATTTGTATTCCTCATTGCTTCTCTGATCCATCGTTTGGTATGTGTTCTAACTAGGCTTTGCCAACTTGTCATGAACTATAGCCACCTGGGAAGAGGAACCTCAGCTGAGAAAATGTCTCCACAAGATTGGACTGTAGACAAGTCTGTGAAAATATTTTTCTTGGTTAATGATCAATGTTCGAAGACCCAGCTTACTGTGGGTGGTGGCATCCCTGGGTAGATATCCTAAGTTGAATAAAAGAACTAGTTGAAAAAGCCATGGAAGAATAAGCCAGTAAGCAGTGTTCCTCCACTGTTTCCATTTCTGCTTAAGTTCCTGCCCGGACTTCTCTCAATTGACTGCAATAGTGACATATAAGTAAAATAAAACTTTTCCGGTCCAAGTCCCTTTTGATCATGGTGTTTTAAGAAAGAAATTTTGGGAAGTAAATTTCTTTGGGGGAAACTTCGTTTCTGGAAGTTTTTTTTTACCAGGTCAATTCCTAGGGACAGAATAAGTCAAGGGCTACATAGAATTTCAGACTCTTAAGACGTATTCTATCACCCTCTGTAAGGTTTATGCCAACCCAAGTTTATACCATACTTGGAAGAGCCTGTCTGTTTGCTGGTACCTACCAGTTAATGACCTTGAATTTCTTCTCTCTCTGAATGGTTAAGAAAGTCTACGCCTCCAGGTCTCTTTAAAAGTAAGTGTAGACAGTGCAGCCTAAGACAATGTGTAGTCATAGAATATAGCAAAGATCACATCATATTCTTATTTCTTGAGCCATACACAAATGGACTTCCTGTATTATCACTGTACATTTGAAATTACTAATGTGGGTGAGTATACACTAAAGTCACTCATGTCCAAGATCTGGAAGTCATTATACCTGTCATAGGTGTCCATCCAAATATGGCCTTATTTTGACAACTGCTGCCATGGCCAATATTTATGGTATTTCTCAAGCTTTTAAGCAGTTAAAAGCCCTTTTATATTAGTAATCTGATATTGCTTTTTGGTTTAAAATAGCACAGAAAAAATTTTCTGCTCACATATATTTTTACCCAGTATTAGGTGTTTTTACTGTACATAGAATGTTAGAATGGGGCTGTATTTCCAGGTAATGGGAACAACTGAAGCCTGTGTTTTTTCTTTTTTTCCTGAAAGATAGTTTCTTTACAATTACCCTGAATTCAAGGAACAATGAACTAGCAGCCAGAAAGCCTACCTTGTTTTTAACAGAATCACCCATCCCTCTGTGTATCTCTGCTGAAGGGGTTTGTTTTCTCTGGTTTTTGAGAGAATCTTTCCCAAGTCCCATGTTTCACTGTACTTCGGTAAAGTTGTGTGTTTTAATTGCAGGTACAGGTTAGACTCTAAAATGCTTTAGATTCCTAGCAGAATTGCCATGGCGATGAGTGCCCCGGAGTAGAGAACAAACATTGCCGGTCCTCAGTGCAGCACTCAAAGCCTGTGCTGTTTGCAGTTCCTCTCCGTTCTTTAGTTCTTCCGTGTGACTCCGGTAGAAGCCTTCTCCTGAACACAATGCTGCTGTTAATAGCGAGGGGGAATGACTGAAACTGCGCCGAGGGGAAAAGGAGTAGGCGGAAGCATTTTCAGCCGACCACTGCAAACCACAGGCTGCAATTATCTGCAGCTGAAAACAAGTCGCTTTTAATGTGTCCATTTGGCCGAAAGAGAGAGAATTATAGAGCTCTGCTCTCCTCTCCCACTCTCCACTCTGTCTTCTTCTCCATCTTTATGTAGCTTATCATCCATAATTTCAGGATGTATTTTGCCTCTTTAAGCTGTTTTATCTATAGGCTTATGAGGTCACTCATGTGTGAATTTCTTTGTTAGTCATCTCACCTTTTGCCTTGATGATAGAAAATTGATCAGGACTAAAGTACAAGCTCAATAGACAACCCTCTTGGTCCTTTGTCTAGGAGAACAGCTACATTGAAGGCCACGAGCAGGTAGCTATTAATATGACAGGCGCTCTATCTCCCACTGTAATTTATAATGAAATACCTAATCTCCATTATTTTGATCCAAGCAGGCGATCCCATGAAAAAGTCTTTTCATCCAGTTCCCAATGGCTGTTGCATGAGAAATGGCAAACCAATAATTTTTGTCAAGTTTTTTAAGCCAACAGAAATGCTTTTCCACGGCTGCAGTTTCAAAAGGCAGAGATAAAGCTCATTCACCGCGATGAATGGAAAAGCCATCTGGGGTTTTCTTTTTGACTTCCTTCCCTTTTCTCCATCCTTGTAATCAAATTTGAGCAAAATGAAATGGGGCTTTCTATGAAAGTACCTTTTGTTGATCTGAACGAGCTGGTAATTTACAAAATACCCTTCCTTTGTGAGGAAGGCTAAAGAAAAAAAGAATCCGTAGCTTTTAAAGCCGGGCCTTAGTGGGACTCTAAATGCAATGAAAGCCTTCTGTGTGGAGAGATTGAAATGCGTTTCAAAGCCAGGCCTGGCTAGGGGGGCACTGAGAACAGACCTATGAGCTTTTCGTAGCAAGGAAAAAAGTGAATGGAGAAAGCGAGGGAAGCGGGGAGCTGTGGACCGGGGTGTTGAAGTCACCGTGGTTCTGTGGACTCATTCGTCACCAGTGGGGCCGAAGTTGGATGTCTGCTGCCCAGGAGGCCGAGCCGTCTGAGCTGGGAAAGTTTGGAGCTCCGTTGTAAAGAATGTGGCCTGCCGAGGGTGTGGTAATTCCTCCAACTTTTTCTTTCTCTCCTTGTGCTGGGATCTTGTGAGAACTGCCACAGGAAAACCTGGAGACGTCAATTTCCAGACGACTAATACTTGCTTTCCCCCTTTTAGCCTGCTAGATTTCTTCGTGGCACTGACCCCCCCTTCACTCGTTGGAACCAGAAGGACGCAGATAAATGTCTGAAGAACAGTGAGTAACGTGTGCCGTTTTCTTCTATCCCTGCTCAGAGTTCGCTGCAATAGAGCTGGGGTTTGATTGTTACAGGAGTTTGGAATAAGCACGCATGCTTTGAAGGGAAGTGGGTTTCCTGCCATATTTGCCTTGTTTGATGTGAATTCTGGTCGACTTAGCTGTTCTTTACAACATTCCGTGATGACAATGAATGTCCTCACTGAGGCTTTCTTCCTCTTGTGTACCCTGTGATGCTGAGCATTGTGTTGTATGGGACTCACGCGTTCTAGCAGAGCAGTTTAAGATTCAATGCGAACCTCATGGGCACTAGATCCGGAGTTGCTTCTGTGTGTGAAGCGCCGCTTGTATCTTGTAGTTTTAATTCACTCATCATGATTTCTCTCCATTTATGCATGAGGTAAAATTGCTGTATAAATTATGTGAGCTTATTTCCTCACGACAAACATCCAGAGAGAGGCGAGAGTTGTTTTGGTACGAAAAGTCAAACAATTTTAAAGGTAACTTAAGTAAAATTTCTTGTAATTTAAATATTTCAAGGAACCATAATTAAAATACAAAGGCAGTTTCCCCTTTGAGAAAGTGAAAGGTGCACTTTTAACTTCCTGAAAATCAGACAGATTCGTTATCTGAAATGTTGTACCTTGGACTAGAGCAAATGCCACAGGTAATTTTAAAAAGGCAAATGCACGTAACCACAATGTTATTATAAGTTTGAGAAATATCTCAGTCAGAATGAAGCAAGTGCACACAGCCAGTTCTGATGTCTCAGGTGGCTTGAAGGGTGTTTATATTGAAGATCATGTTTCTAAAGCAAGGGAGGGGACCCCAGAACCCCACAGAGACAGCCTTCCTGCTTCCAGAGCCAAGAGCAAAACAACCCAGTGAACCCAGGGACTCTAATGATCATTTAACCCTTTAGGCCCTGGCTGGAGTTTTGGTTTGTTTGTTTTGTTTTGTTTTTTAAAAATAGAGACTATGAAATGCAGAATACAGGATTCAGGTAATCTCCCACAAGTCTTGGGGAGGACCAGCCCTGTCCCTTCTGACTATACCGCACTTGGAATCTGAGTTCCCGGAAGTTTGTCTCAGTCAGGCCTGTTTTCCACACTCTGGTGGTTCTGTTTCCCAACTTCCTGAAGTCACATCTTTGCCCATGGTTTTGAGCCATTGCTGCCTCCTAATGTCTAACTTTAAAACAGCATCCTTGACAAGCTGCCATGGGGGTGGTAGTGGGGCACTGGTTTTTGTTGGTATTGCAGTCTCAAGAGGCTTTATTCCTGATTTATGAGAGTCCCTAGAAAGCAGACTAAACCCTGAAGGATAGGTTTGGGAACAGGAAGAGCAAGTCAGTTAGTGTGTGTGGTATCCTGTCTCTGTGTGGTAGTGTGGTGCCTGGGCAGTGGTACCCTGTACACAGTGATGTTCTGTGCAGGGACCCATATCAGCACCTGGGCAGTGATGCCCTGTACACTGTTGACTCCCATTGGTACCTCAGCAGCAATACCATGTGTTGTTTGCTGGTCTCACGTACAATCAATATTTCATTTTTCATAGTTGAATCTTATCTGTGAGCACTTCTGGTGAGACAGATGTTATATGAAGTGTCTCTATAGAAAAGGTGCTAGAGATATGTAACCAGACCAGAGAATCCATAGAGCTCACCCGTTCAGCCAATGGATGGTTAGCTGCCTGCTTAATTTATTGAGGATATTTTGGGACTGTTAGTGGAATGGTGAGTTTCCTCTTCCCTCAAATTTAAATAGTATTCTGAAAACCTGCATACTGGGACTCCTGGAAAGCTGGTTAATTTCTGAGTAATGACTGGGTCATCAGAAACACTGGATTTCTTGCTTGAAAACCTTTGACGTTAACAACTGACATGCTACCTATTTTATTCTCTGTAAAGTCCAAGCAACAACCAATCAGCTTATCCTGGGGATCTTAGCAACCTAAGATCTGTGTGGTGTCCTCAAAAGTTATAGGAATGAGGGAAGCGGTGAGATGTCTGTAAGTGCTGATGGATCTGAGACTTACTTGAAGGTTTTGGTGTCACCTGTGTACTAGGGATGCTTGGAGCCTTGTGTTTGGAGCCAAGGCTGCTTTCCCATCAGTGATGCCACAGGGCTTCCGCTGTTTTGCAGCGACCCATAGGACAGGACCTGAGAGGAGGAGGCTCAAGCTGGGCTTCATCTCCCCAGGAAGTGAGGGCCTGTGCCTTGAGGCTTTGATGGGCTCCAGGCTTCCCAGCCAGTGGCGTGCTTGCTCCTTCAATTCAGGGTACAGATGAAGGGCTGTCTGGTCTTAACACCAGGCTGTGTGGGTGGTGTTCTGAACTGTTCACTAGGGTGTAAATAGAATTTCACTCTCTTTAGGTGCGAAGTGGGATGCTTCTGGGCAGATGTGGGAGGTGACCTCTCCTTGTCAACAAGATGATTCGTCCAGTTACCTTACCTGGTGATAAGAAAGGGGGTTCCTTAGACACTGACATTACCACCAAATCCAGAGGCAGCGAGGTTCTGATGACAGTAGGATCATCACTAAGATTGATCCAGTAATGGTCATGTGACTCAATGACACTGGTAGCACGGCAGTGGAGGAGAAAGTACCAGCTGCTACCACGTGTTAAAATTGTAATGGGAAGCTGGGTGACCCGATACTGGGGATGCCTTCTCTTGTAGGCCACCTCTTGCATATGTTCTGAGGTAGTAGCTGTAATTAATTAGGGCTAAGACTCAGGGACAATGGTACTCATGTATAAAAAGGTCACATACTAATTTTTTGAGTCAAGGTTCTTTTGACTCAATGTTTACAGCAGCAAAAACAAGAATGGAAAGCCCCACAATCACTCCCACATGGTAGGTACTTCATCCATGGTGGTGTTTCCCCTCACAGGTCTGAAGTCATTGTCTCACAGAAGGAAAAGAAAGATCACAGGAAGTCAGTACTGATGTCTGGTCCAGCAGACATCCCAAGTCTACGCTGACAGAACCAAGGCCTCTGTTCTTCTCACACCTAAACATCTGGGGGCTAACACAGATGTCTGGGGCTTCTGTACGGCCTTGTGTGTGTCTGCCTCTGTCCTAGTTCATTTCCTGTTGCTGTGATAAAAGTGCCCTGGCGGAAGTTGCTTAAGGGAGAAGGGTTTATTTGTGTTTGCAGTTCTAGAGTAAACTCGTTATGGAAGCCATGGCTGCAGGACTTTAGGGACCTGGCCACTGTGCCCAGAGCTGGAGAACTGAGATGGGTCAATGCAGGCTGGTCCTAAGCTCTCCTTCTCTATGTATACATCTCCTGGACAGAAGCACTCAGGGGCTTTGTTGTTTCTAGTTCCTGTGGTAACTCAGTCAAAAGTTAAAGTTCAAAATCCAACCTAAACCAAACCACTTATGAAGCATTAGTTTGTATGGTGCCAAGACCAAGTTCTTAAAGAATAGATTTGAACAAAAAGCTGAGGGTAGAGGAGCAAGTACAATTAGAGCATTAGAAGAAAATAGAGAAAAAACAACTTACCAAGTAACGCCATGCTGTGATTAAGTTTGAGTCTTCTTTGTCTGTGCATATCTTATACATTTCTTCTGTTGTGGTAATGAAAAATGATAATCTGAATCTACACACTAAACAAAGAAGAACAATCTTAAGTCAGAGATCATGTCTGGAAAGAGAAGATGACTTGGGGATCCTGAAAGATGGGAACTGTATCTTCAGGGTTGACATAGAATGGTAAATTTGGGATGATGTGTATCAAGGTAGGTGGTTATGCACCATGACATTTTCTGCATAGATTTTGTTTACAGTTACTCAATTCTTTGCTTCTGCCTTTGGTTTACATAGTTGGTACTATGTGACCCTTTGAGCCTCGAACTTGATTGTCAGTCACTGTAGGTCTCTTAGGACACGATTGCAGAGACATCCACCATATAAAATTGCCTACATTGTCACAGTTCTGGTGAATATGTCCTTTAAGAATAAACTCAAGGCTCAAAATAAATGATCATTGCTGATAACAGACTGTTTGCAAAGTACTCTTAGCTATGTCAGAGCTGGTGGTAATTTTCCTCCCAGTAGAGAGTTGCAGTCAGAATTGGTTATAAGTATACACACTAGACTACATGGGGGAAAGAAGCAAACTCTTAGTGGCTCTCAGTTGTTCCCATTATCAACTGAGGGGAGGTTAGGCACTCTGTCCAGTGGAATCAATGTCCCAAGAGCTCATAGGTGGGAGCCAGCAGGACACTCTAAAATGAAGATATAAGCACAAGGAAAGTTGGGGCTCCCTAAACCTAGCTACAGGACCTGAATGGATCAGGATTCCCTCTTACCTCTTAGGGAAATGATATCTTTATAGATGTAAATCTCCTTGGACACATAGTAGGTGTTTGCCTATCTACTTTTTATGGATAACATCCACAACACAATTTCATTACTCTCTCTTTCTGGGGGCTGTATTGTGTGGCCAAAGAGGATTGCTTTTATGTTCTCAGAGAAAATGGAAAAAATCACTTGATTTTTTAATTTTTAAAATTACTTATTTTTTATTTCATGTGCATCAGTGTTTCACCTGCTTGTATGTCTTTGCACCTTGCATATGCCTGGCTGCCCTCAGAGGCCAGCAGGGGGTATCAGATCACCAGAAACTGGAATTGCCGGTGGTGTGAGCCACTGTATGAGGTGCTGGGAATCAAACCTATGGCCTCTGCAAGTGCAGCAAATAGTCTTAACCACTGAGCCATTTCTCCAGCCCTGTCACTTACGTTTTTGTTGGATGGAGAGTCTCATGTAGCTCAGGTTAGCCTCAAACTTGCTATGTAGCAGAGGATGTCTTTGTACTTCTGAGTCCCCTTCTTCCAGCTCTCCACACGTGCATACCTGGCCTGGTTTATGTACTGTGAACATTGAAAACAGGGCTTCATGCATGATGGACAAGCACCCTATCAACTGAGCTATATCCCCAGACCCTGAACAAATACCTTTCATGGTTTCTCAAAAACAAAACAAAA